GTTAAACGAAAGAATGAAATAAAAAAATCAAAAAATGTTGTTGTTATTTAAATATTGTAAAATGAGTAATACACGAAATGAAGAACAACTACATTTAATATCTTAACGGTTAAAAAAATACGACGAGGTAAAGAACCGTAAAAAAATCCTCGAAGAAGCTTATATATCGCTCACCTAAAAAAACTAATTACATATTCACATATATACATTAACATGAAAAAAGTTTATAACTTATTCTTTAGAACTCGGACTTCCATCTGTGGTTGCATTCATGTAATGCTCGGAATTGAATTCGTACTTTGACTCTTGAGCTCGACGTCTTTCCAAGAGCCAATCTCGGTTGCAAACAAGTGTTTCAAGAGATTCAGCACTAAGACAACTTCGGAACACAGTTAGAATGTTGCCGCCAGCACTGAATTCGTGTTCCACTGCTACAGTTGATACCGGGACGGACAACACTTGTCTTGCCAGTATTCGTGAAGAATGAACTCATGATGAAGGTTCCAAACGCCTCTGCGATTGGAACCATCATGCACGCCATGATATGTACTAGACCTGATGTTCATTTGATTCAAACATCCCCCGCATGAATATTAACTAAACCACTTGGCCACATCACTACGGTATGGACTTAGAATCCATCTTCTACTGAAGATGCAGCTAAGACCCACCAATCCAAGTTCAATGAATTTGAGCCACCATTAACTTATGATCTTTTAATTCCACTTTAGCATTAGGATATTATTTGTCTTTTTTTATTATCAAGAACTAAATATTCTTGATTGATTCTCATCGAATCTAAATCCGCCCAATGTGTTATGACCTAAATTTTTAAATTTATATTAATACTTGCATTTTACATTGAATAAAAATAAAATATAAAAAACATATGTATTGAATCTCTTAGGTTACTTTACTTTGAATTTTTAATTAATTTTAGACATATAAAAGAATATTACTACCTCCGTCCCGCTATATTCGTCCACTTTTGACTTTCGGAACTGTTTATCTAAGCACTTTGATTCATCAAATTCTCTAAATGTGTAAGCCTAAATATAGTCATGTGTGATCTTATTTGCGTTGTCTTAACATATAGATTATTAATAGATAATTTCTATAATTTTTTAATATACAAATTACAAGAGAAAGTGGATTAGAGAAGTATATTGAATGATGTGTAAAAGTGAAAGTAGACAAATACTGAGAGAGTACATACTTAAGAAAACTAAATATTCAGAAATTTTGGAAAAAAATAGGGTAGTTATGCAATATCATTAAAACATTTTCTGAAAGTATATACACTACAAATGAAGAGTTGGTTAGAATGAAAAAATTGAAACCTTATTTTTATATCATTATATTTCATATTAAAATATATAACTTTTAAAAACTATTAAACTAGTGGGTCAGTTTTGTCGGAATTGAGTATGGACGGATTTAACCCATTTTTAGCTGATCATTTCAAATTTGGCAAATTTCGAGTTTGATCAACAAAACCTTGGATCAAAAACCAGTATTTTTTGGGTTGGATGTTGAGTAAAAAAACAAACCGGGTAACTTTTTGTCAGATCTACATCCACTACACGCCCCAAACGTCAATTGAGAGAATCCTTTCCAATCCCACCATAAACTAATTTACTTTCTTTGGATTAAGGAAGGAGGAGGAGGAGAGAAATGTATCAAGGATGGATTATGCTATGTGCACCCCAAGGGTTGTACCCCAATTTGTATCCCGCAGTTTTGCACCAACATTTTGTGTTGGTGTAAAACTAATTTTTGTTAAACGCACCAACATTTGTGTCCGTGTGAATTTTTATTAACGCACCAACACTTGTGTCGGTGTAAACCATCGAAATGTTTGTGCAAACCTGTGGTGTACAAATGAGGTATATTTTTTGATGTAAGTGTAGCATGGTCCAGGATGGATTTACCTTGTGGCCACTCTCCACGTTGAGAGGAGGAGGAGAAGAAGAAGTACTAGTGGAGGGTGGAGGTGTGAAGTCGGGTTGTTGCTTGCACAACTTCATCTAAAAATCTGACTAGATTACTCACCACAAAACCCTATACCAGCCACAACATTTGCAGTGCGTCTAAAGGCTCACTGCCACTTTGGAACAGTTGGATTCAAATTCTAATAACAGTTACATTCGGCATTCATCCAAAATTAGGGATTGGAAACCAAATCAATTCGATTACATGACAATCCAAACAAATGTATTTATTATGTGTCCCTCCACCAAGACAAAGAAAATTAATAATACAAAGCACACAAGACACATCAAGTTCGCACCATTGTAAACATCACTAATAAAA